ATAAATCCCATTAGATAAAAACTAAATGGTGCTTCTAATCTATAAAAATCTCTTATATGGAAAAAAAAAATCTTGAAATTTTGAATATTCTTCGTCAATTGAGAGCAGGGACGGAGGATAAGTAGGGCTACGGGGCCATGGCTCCGTCCAAGCTCTTAAAAAAATTAATATATGATGGTTATTTATAAAATTATTAAATACTGATTTAAAAAACCCTAATTAATTGTGCTCGTTCACTTTTGTCTTTTGTCTTTTGTCTCCAACTCTCTGGTACTAATTCTTCTTTGGCTCCCTTTTTAAAAAAAAAATTTTTTTCGCTTCTTTCTTGCTTGAATTTTGTTTATAATTTTTTTTAATTATTAGAGTTTATTTGGTATAACAGTTAAAATTTAACACATAATGGGAAATAGTTGGTAGATAACTATAGTAGCTAGCAGATGACGGGGTGGTGAATGATGAAAAGACAAGTAGCAGTTAGTAAACAACGAATTCAATTAATATAATTGTCTAGTTATACAATAGTTAATAGTTGTTATTTAAAATTAAACAATCGATAAGAACATATTTGAAAACAATCAGGTATATATTTTTTTTATATATTTTATTATTAAAATTATTAATTTTATAAAAAATAAATAAATAAATAAATTATAATTGTGTAATCATACATTAATTTTTATTTTTAATAAAAAATTATTCTAGTTTTAAATAAAGTACAAAAAATTTAATTTTTTTGTCAAATAAGCAAATTTTGTTTATTAGGCTAATACAATTTTTTGTAATAAATTAATGTAAAAATAAAATATAATTATACTTACTATTATTAAAGACAAAAAATGAAATTAAAACTAATTAGATAAGTACTAATTAAAAATCATGGCAAAATATTAAAAAAATTAAAATGATAAATTTGTTAATAAAATTAAAAAATTCTAATATGTTAGTTTGAATTCTAATCGTTATTCATCAATTCTAAATTATTAAATAAAAAATTTTACCAAACACTTAGTTTATATTAGTTTCGAAATAAATAAATTAACCAAACTGTTATTTTTAGCAGTTTGAACAAAACTGCTAATTACTAACTTTCAATTATTATACCAAATAAATCCTTAATATATTTATGTTAAGGAAAATTTAGAGAGGAGGAGGAAATGAAAATTTTTTATTTTATTTATTTTTTAATTCGTTTATTTATCTAAATGAGGGAAGGCTTCTCAACCTTCCCTTCCATTTTCTCAATCCAAAGATAATGTCAATTTTCATTCTTTACATCACAATTTTTGCAATTGCAAATTTTGTTGTCTTCGCAGTTTGAGCACAAGTGCAATGGGCTTGTTTTTACATCACAAATTTCTGCAATTGTAATTTTTGTTGTCTTCACAATTTAAGCGCAAGTGCAATGGGCTTGTTTTGTGAAAGAAAAATGATTGGTGTATATTTGTTTTGACATACTTTTTAACACTCATTTTAATTCAATTATTAAAGCATAGTTTAACCATAATCGTTTTAGTCTATTTTTACATTTTATATGTATAATTATATTTTTAAATTTATTTACTTTTAATTTTAAATTAAAAAATAATAATTTTTTAATCAATATATTATATAATATGTTAAATTAAAATATATATCAATTAGTGTGCTTTTGTATATTATGTTGAGTTTTCAGGTTTATTTTTGTGCTGATTTGTTTAATTCCCAATTGATTTCTTTGTTAAGTTAGGCATGACGAGAAAAATTGTTAGCTCTTTTTTCTTTTTTTCTTTTTTCTTTTTTTTTTTTTTCCTTTCCTGTGTTGGGTTTGAACTAAGGCTAATCAAATGCTCTACTTCTTCATTTTAAGGTTATTCTACTTTTACATAATACATAATGATATAAGTTGAAAGTTCAAAATATACAGAGATCATCTTTTGAGTTAAAAGTTAAAAGTTTGTTCAAATGTTTTTTTTTTTTTTTTTAAATTGTTAACTTTTATTACTCAAAAAAACTTTAAAAAAAAAAAGAATTTAGGATAGATGCTCGAGCCAATAGACTAGCAATTGTAAATTCAAACTTAATTTAAGTAAAATGACAACAAAATCTATTTGAAGTTTATAATTCTTCACATGATAAAAATTCTAGAACAGGACAAGGAAAAATCGAAAAAGGGAAAAGAAAGGAGAAGTAGAAATGTTATAGAGGGTAAATTTTGAGTTTCTAATTAATTAGTTTAGCCAAAGATTCCATTATATATGGTGGATATGTATGGTATAATTTATATTATGTTATATTAGAATATTTTTTTTATATATATAATCCTAATCATATTTTAATTCGAGTGAAATGAATATGATTTTTTAAAATAAAATTTTAAATTTGCATCTTATAAATAGAGATACATGTGTTAGAAAAGCTTTTTTTTTTTTTTATAAAGTTTGATGCAGCTTGGTTTGTAATTAGTGGGGATATAATGTAATTTTTGCATACTAGGGTTCTAGTAAAAAAAAAATCTTTTACATATAATGAATTAGTTATTTATTTATTTTTTTTAACTTTATAACTTTTGGTAGATGATGATTGCTTATAGTGAAATTGTGTTATGTAGATTTATATTATATACTTAGATTTGCAAGTTAAAGATAAAAAATTTTTGGCCTCCCAAACATTTTGCACAAGCTCCGTCCCTGTTTTGAGAGTACATGTTGGTCTCTGAAAACCAATTCATATTTCCCAAGGGGCCTTGCTGTTTCCCATCTGTTCTTCTTTGTCAAGTATTATCCAATCATATGGGTATTGTCATGGATTGCTTAGATATAGCTTCGCAATTGTGTCAGGTCTTGAAATCAATTTTAATTTGCAGATCAAAGCTTTAAGTGTCACCTAATATTTAGCATAAAGTAGCCACAGCTTGGAGTTCGGGGTGTTGTCTCCCTTTGACTACAAATCTGAGCACCTACCTTGGTGTCTCTATTCTTCGTGGCAGTGTAACACACCAAACCTATAAACATATCATTGAGAGAATGGAATATAAACTTCGCTCATGGAAGAGGATTCTTTTGACTCTGACGAGTATACGCACGCTTATTCAAGCATGCATAATGACTATCATGCTTACATTATGCAGTATGTCTTACTGCCAGTGTCAATTTGTTCAAATATTGATCGTTTGAATCGAAGCTTTCTCTGGGGTTCAAATGCTGCTTCAAACAAACCTCTTCACACTTACTGGCAAATTTGCTCTTGCAAAAACCAGGGAGGTTTGGGTTTAAGGTCGGCCAGAGATAGTAATGTCGCTTCCTCAAGATGGCTTGGAAAATCCTAACATATATGATAACTCTCTATGGTGTGATACCCTCCATAGCAAATACGGGGGTAATTGCTATTTGCTACGGAGGTTATCACACCATAGAGAGTTATCATATGTTAAGATTTTCCAAGCCCTCTAGGGGAAGCGACATTACTGTCTCTGGCCGACCTTAAAACCAAGGATACAGTATGATGCTTGGTGCACCTCCCCTAAACAGGCTTTATTATAATGGGAGAGTTCAGAGTTGCCTCTACGCTAGGTAAGTGAGAGCTAATTAGTTGACATGTGTATTGTGAAGATTATTATGCTTTGAACCAGAAATATTATTATAAGAGGTAGTCTTGCATGTGTAATGGGTAAGGGTACCCTTGTACTCTGATAATAAATAAAAAATAAAATAAAATATTGCCGATCAAAAAACAAAATACTTCCTTGTGGGATGCGTAGACATCTGTCCGTACTTCAGCCACTTGAGAGAGCATTTTACAAGCTCGGGGCTACTCAAATGTGGCTGTAGGTGCAGAATCAGTAATGAGAATCTCGTAAATTTTTGGCTTGATACATGGGTGGGTGATGCTCCACTTGAATTTCTGCACTTGAGGCATATTCAAGCTAAATGCAGATGGGTTCCTATGCCATGGCACAAATCATGCTAGTGCGGCGGAATCATCAAGGACTAAAACAACTCTTGAATATGCGACTTTAAAGTTAATATTGGAGTCACAACCAATTTTGATGCTAAGTTATGGCAGGCAAGGTCTTTGCCTGTGCCTTGATCATGGAGTCATTGATCTTGCAGTTGAAATAGATTTTGCAGTAGATGTTCATATGCTTACAGGTAATTCTTCAATTCGGGCCACCCTTTCTATACTCATCTTGGACACTAAAGCCCTCATGAAGAAATTCAATACCTGTGGTCTAGGTCACGCACTCAGAGAGGGAAATGTAGGTGTTGATTTCTTGGCTGAATTAGGTCACACCTCCCCAGTAGGAACTGCCATTCCTGATGCTCTGCCCTCTGTACTTTCCAATATCTTATTAGCTGATGCAATTGGGGTCACTTTCCCCAGGTCGAAGGAGTTAGTTTCTATCTTTTCTATATATATATATATA